TGCCTACACCACCAAACGCGACCGAGGTGCAGAGTTTCTTAGGGTTGGTGGGTACTATAGGCGGTTCATCAAAGCTTCTTCCGATATTGCCCGACCACCGTATTGACTGACTGAAAAGGACGCAACTTCAAATGGGATGAGGAAAGGGAGGCTGCCTTTAAAAAGCCAAGGCAAAGGTTGCTTGAGCCGCCTATCCTGGTATATCCAGCGCCAGACGCCGAGTCCATTCTCGATACAGATGCTAGTGACGTTGGGGTAGGAGCGGTACTCTCCCAAGTGATCAATGGACAGAAACGGGTCAATGCATACGGTAGTCGGGTACTGAGCAAACCTGAACGCAACTACTGCGTAACTAGGCGAGATCTACTGGCCATTGTGGTGTTCCTCAAGAAATTTCGACAGTATCTGTATGCCGATTCATTATCCAAACTGACCACGGACCGCCGTGGTGGGCTAAGAATTTCAAAGCCCCACATGGTAATAAATTTCTTACTCCACACAGGCCTATAGTCCATTCTCCGAGTACACTCAAGTCACGATTTCAGTAGCCACTTCATGCACATGAGGAACTACATCCCTCATTTTAATATTGACAACTCTTTCCTACTCCGGTCCCTTAAGACTACCACAAAAATGATAATTGTGTGATTTTAAAGTTGACGATCATGCACGAGAGTTTTAGAATTGTAGCTATAAGTGCGCACTGCAAGGCATTGCATCAAAAAAAAATTACCTTTTATAGATCATAATGGTGACAATTATCAGTAGAATAACAATCACTGGTACCACAACAGCCACCGGTGCCAAAGATGACGAACCTGATAAATTAAGTTATTTAAAATGGCTTCAGGTTGTGTTTCGTGTTTCATCATGGAAAGCTGAAAATATACCAATTTTCACATTTCATTCAGGAAAATTTAATGCGCTAAATTAGTTCCCTCAGAAATATTTTTCAAAGCCTTTGTGTAATGTTAATGGAAAACGACTGCAAGATAATCTATCACCCACCGCGATAACATAAATACTACTGTCAAAGAAAGGACGACTTAACCGAGAAGAACTTTAAGATAAAATTTAAAACAGCGCTTCCTTCCTACAAAGCAGAAATCTAGTTTGTATTTGACAAACAGTTATTATATTGCAACCAAGTTCATTAAGCCAAAGCGAAATTAGGACCTTTTCAGAAATTTAGGAGCCTCTACACCAAAAAGAAGACGTTGAAAAGGCAAGGTAGAAATGGAAGAGATATTACAAGAGACTTTAGTGTCAATATCAAACCTT